GCTGTACATATGTAATGTTTATCAAACTGCACAGCCAGCACTGCAATCATTATTTACGTTTCGAAAATATTGGTGTCTATTTGAAAAGTAGTTGTGAGACCTAGCGTGGCTGTGTGCTGAATACTTCTGTATAGTATAGAACTTTTTGGGCCCGCAGAATGCTGGAGCTTGATTCCCAAGACTCTGGCATTTATTCTTTCGCATTTATTGGGTCCACAATGCCAATGTCATATTTCTCCTGAGGCTCAAGTTTTGAAACTATTCATGTCTGTTTTCACCGTTCCTTGGTAGATATAAACTGTCAATTGCTTTCGCTATATTCATGGTACATATCTCCTCGCGGGTATGTGTCACACACTTGGCGGAAAGGGTTTGATGATGTACGCGATGGGATTGAGACACCACAAGTTTTCAGCAAGCTACGAACACGTTACGGAAAGATGGCAACATGAAACCGGCTGACGAGTGTGCATGTGCAACCATTGGATGCGCATACGGAAAGGAACCGTGTCGTATTTCCGTAACCTGTTACCGTAGCTTGCTAAAAACCTCTATTATTCATGCTACGACCAGCAAGTCATGTGCGTCAAAGCACCATACTCTCTCATACTAATTTTGGTTAACCCATGTTACGGGGGTGATCCCGAGAGCATCAAGACGTAGGCGTATAGATAGATAGATAGATAGATGATACATACATACATACATACATACATACATACATACATACATACATACATACATACATACATACATACATACATACATATATACATAGATAGCAGGTATTTCCCAGAATAGCTAGATTGATGAACGATTAGTCGAATAAAAGCACACGATCATGATCTATTACTGCCTCCGGTAATTCAATTTTCTCGATCAATACTGTTAAATTATTAAATAACGGCAACCACCAACCTCACCCCAAACATCACCCTTTGTCTATACGCACGGGAGCGAGCGGAGTGATGTGGAGATGCAGAAGTTGAGCACACCTAATCTTTTGCACTACAGTGCACAAAAGTACGCTAGTAGAACGAGCCCGACGCGGTCTGCGGCCCTATTTCACAGAGGCAGAAATAAAGTCACCCTCGTCTCTGTCTGCAATGGCGTCTACCTCCAAGCCGTCCCCAAGGCTTCTAGTGCGGGCAGGTGAATGCACGGCCATTCACTTCATTAAATGAAAGCAGCAAAGTAATGCATCAATGTTCAACACAGACGTTTGTTGCTTTCTGTACATTTTGGACGTGTGAGCAAATCGTCTAGAACCCGTCTAGTCAGGTTGGTCTTCGGCACCACACTGCTTCATCTGATTTATTAGCACAAATTCAGCTCTCCTTCCCTTTGATAAAGAAGCAAGTTTCTTTGTCTACTGTGTCTATGGCATCTTTTTAGGCATTTGATTTACCTCTCAGGTCCGCTAGGGGATCAGCGGTTTGAGCGCTCAGCTGCTGGTTGGGGGGAAAGAGGGGGTATCCAGCCATACATAATGTGTGCCCACACGTGCGTATGTGGATGTGCGTGTACTGATACGCAAGCAAAATAAAAAATGCCAGGTGGGGGTTTAACCCACTCAACTCCTCTTTTCCTTCTTGCCCTGTGTTTTGTGAATGCTTATTATTATTATATAATTATTATTATTATTATTAGTAGTAGTAGTGGTAGTAGTAGTAGTAGTGTTATCAGTAATAATATTACTATTATTCATTGAAACCAGTGTGATCGCTGAAAATGCCTCCTATCTTGGTGCACTAGAGTAGGTGGGCTTCGAGGAAATACAGTCTGCTACTGAATCGTCCATGGACGATGGCCGCAGATCCTTCATTCTGTGATATCACTCATGGACGACGGTTCACATGTGGCCACTCGGTGGATGTATCAATTTTCACGAAGGTGCAAATGGGCACATGTGATCTTCAGTGCTTCTGATAGAAAAACTTCAGTCGAGATAAAACAAAGAATGCGTTCATCTTGATTGAAACAGCGCATGCGAGAAGACGACAAAGAATAATAAACAAGAAACAGGCGATGTCAACAGCGCTAGAACAGGCTGTCTTCGAAGCCTGTTTCTCATTCATAAGCGAACTCTAATGTGTGCTGTATCAACCAAGAAGAACGCATACCAATTCGTTCAACCTTTCATTCTTATAAACTCAACAATGCTTCTTAAGCAGCATATACCCTTCATGAAGCGGCCATTAAAATGTCAACTAATTGAATAATCAATTGAACCATCAAACCAATAGTGATGAACTCAATAAAAATTAAGCTGATTCAAAATTTTATAAACCTGGTGAACAGCAGCCTTTACTATGTTCTGCACGCCCAAATGACAGCGTTAGAAATGGCCTGTACGGCCCCCTCTCGCGCTGATTGCACCAATGCCTTGTTGTCACTCCCAACCATCTGACAAGATACCCAGAAACGGCAGTGCTACGTTCGGGTGGTGCTTAGTGTAACCAATCTTGGAGCACCTGAATAACAATCTCATTTAGTATGTCAAAAGCGTCGCATAGTGCAGGCCCAAGTTCACTTCCTCGTGCACTGTTATGTCCAGTGTTGTCGTCAGACCCAATGTGTACGCACGGGAAGCGGTATTTTAAAAAAAGTTTAGACAGTCTTGTACGGTTGAAACCTTGTTTTTTCCTACTTGGAGGAGGCAGCCGGTCTCCTGGGGAATAATCGATGGCCCGCTTTAACAAATGAGGGAGAGGAGACGAGCCGACAACCGTAGATACGGTGTAACGCTTCACTTCGGGAGCTTACGCGAGAAAAAAGTGTCGTTGGGAAACAACAAAAGGGTTTTGGAATTTAGAGCGGACGTTCCAAAATAAATGTACCCATGCAGCTCCCATTTGAAAAGAAAGTCACTGTTCTGTGCACACTTACCGCTTTTTGCGAATCCACGAAGGGACCACTACACGTTTCTAAGGCTACACGTGAACCTACGTGGCTGCTCATTTTGTTTAAGCTTGTGTAGCTGATGATTATTAAATCTGTCTTGGCGGTTTTCAATGGGAGGGTCTTCAAAACGTCCACTTTTTCTGCAGTTATACGCCTAGCGCACTTCTATACTTCTGCCACTTTAAGGACAGTCCTACCACTGCATTTTTTTTGTTTAGGTAGCTTGAAGCGTCGCTTTCTATATAGTGGAACACCTGCCAGCCACGCATGTGGTTGATTATCACAAAAAACGAAAACTTATGTTTCAATTTCTTTGTACTTTTTATGGGTTTTTTGGTCAGAGACAAGATCATGCTGGTCCACTCCAAACAACGACCCCAACGCCGGATTTTACGCAAAACTACCACTTTAACAGTATCGTGTTAGAACAGCGCAACGCTAAAGCGTTTGCACTTTGTTCTGCTCAACCGAAAGGTTTCAAGAATTTCTGCTAGGGTCCACCAAGATTTCAGTCACCAACTTCCGTCAATAAAATGACGTCGAAAAAATACATGATCAGGAGAGAAACTTCTCTAAGCGGCAGTATATAGGCAGATATGTGGAGTTTAACGTCCCAAAACAACCACAGGAATGGGAGATACGCCGCAGTGCAGGTCTTCGGAAATTTTGACGACCTGGGGTTCTTTAACGTGCATTCAAATCTGAGAACACGGGCCTACAGCACATCCGCCTTATCGAAAATGCAGCCGCAGCAGCCGGGATTTGACCCCGCAACCTACGGTTCAACAGCCGAGTACTTTAGCCACTAGACCAACACGGCGGGGCTTGCAAACTGCAGTAAAACCTACGACCTATCGGTTGGCGACAACACAAGACGGGAATGCTAGCCACTGCTATTTAGTCACTTCCTTAGGAAGCTTTGAAAATATGGCTTTTATGCCTACCTCTGTCCTCTCAAAGTGATATTGGTAAAGTGGAGTGACACATCACGATCATGACACCCACGAATATGTCTTTCAGCGAGTCCATAGGGCCCGGGACATCGCCACAAGCCTTCGGCTGCCAGTGCTATCTTGGGCGAAGCCTCCAGGCTTAATTAAGGGTCGGAATGGCCCTTTCTCAGCCTCCTCGGGATACTTTTTAAATAAAGTCAATCTCTCTCTTTCCTTAAGCGCGTGCTTTTCACGCGTCTCTCCTATTCGGCGCTTCTAACATAACATAGGAGAAACTTTGTAAACCCTCAAGACACCGCCAGGTTGCGACCTTACCCAAAGCATCGGCGTAGCTCATAGCATCAATCCATACCAATAACAGCCCGCTTTACTGGGTGTAACTCCATCTGCCCCCTTACGCTCACCCAGTAAAAAATCGTGGCCGGCTGACAGGAAACCACAAACGCAAATTGAGTTTCCCTCTAACCGTGTTGTAGCGTTCAAAAAATCGACAATGCCGCGAGTAGGCGATCTTTGCTGAAATGTGGTCACAATCAGTCACTCCCTTCTGTTTGTGACACTTTCTTTTGCGCCACTGTAATCAATAAGCAGAACAGCCACTACAGACATCTATGTTCACGAGGGTATGTATATTCATTGTTTATTCATTATTTATTAACGTTAGTTGTCGTGTTAAAGAAGTACCGCTCAGCGTCAAGACGGATGCATTTTTGTTAGTTAGAGCTTTAACTCTGAAACATAACCAGAAATTGTTCAAGCTCTCTTATGGGACTCTCGGTGTCAATGAACTACTTCTGTAAGGCGCAGTTTCACTTTCCTGTTAAACAGATTTTTATGCGGAGGGATAAACCATGTTTTTAAGGGGCAAAGTGCAACATGTCACTAAAAAAGTGGAGCCAAGACCAATGTAACCGTAGTTCACGATGAACTCAACACACGTGATTATTTCCCTCCACAGACTCCCCAAACTTGCTCTTGTCCTTTGGCCCGTGGCGGTAGGTGGTGCTAGTAGCCGGCGGTATACATTACCAATTGTCGCACCCCCCCCCTCCCTCTAGTTCTTGTCATGGCGAAAAGTGATTCAAATGGCGTCTTCTACGGACACTTCTTAGTAGTTGAACAGGGCTTTCTCCCTAAGAAGGACTAGTTGTGGTAGTTCTGGCTCAGCAGCAGCTGCTGCAAGCTTGCAAGCCCCACAGATTCTGTTGCTTGCTGTTTTGTTGGCTGATTCCAAGGCGCAGCACCTGCAGGTGGGGGCGTCTGTGCGAGGTTGGGGCAAATGTGGTTCCCATGTCTGTGCCAGACAGTTTCATTTTGTAATTCAACCTCAGATGACGTGTAGCTCGTAGGATCAGCGACAGAAGCAGGTACCTATGGTACGCCTGATCGGAAGTTCCTGGTGAACACTGGGGCCGCATACAGTTTTTGCTTTATCTGCTTCAACTGAACAGACGATCGCAGACTTGAAGGCATGACATCCAACTGTGCCTTGATTCTTCTTCCCATTAGCAACCGGCATGGAGCACAGCCTGTTATTTGATAAAACGTGCATATGTAGTGGAATAGTACCCTGGCCACTTGTGTTCTGAATTCACCCGGTTTATTTTTCTTTAGTTTAATATTGTTTGTCTGTACTACCCGCTCTGTAGCCCCGTTGAAAGCAGGGTTATATGGGGGAACGAGCATGCGATGAATGCCATTCTTCTTCAGCAAGTCAGTGTAGTGGCTGCTGGTGAATGCTGGCCCATTGTTTGACATAATGATGTTTGGAGACCCATGTTTAGAAAAGATGGTCCTGAAGACAAACATTGTGGCCTTCGTTCATGGAGACGGAACAGGGTGAATTTCTACTCACTTCAAAAAAGCATCAACCACCACGAGGTAGTACCGTCCCATGATGGCCCTCCAAGATCAACATGGATCCTGGACCAAGGCTTGTCAAGAAAGGGCCATGGAATAATTGGTATCCTTCAGACAGACTTCTGAAGCGCTTGGCAAACAGGGTAGCTCCGCACCTGGTTCGTCACGCCATTGTCGATTCCCGGGCACCACACATGAGGCCTAACAATCATCTTTGATTTCTCAATATCAAGGTGACCACTGCATCAGCTTAAGGACATGGGATCGCAGGGACTTGGGAACAATGACAAGAAGCATCCTTCGTGCGAACTAAGTTCATTAGTCCTCGTAATATAAGACCCCCATCTCAACCCACCGGAAGAGGATTCCTGGTCAGGACAGCCTCGGCCACTTCTGACATCATGAGGTCTCTTACCGTAGCGCGTTTAATGACTGCAGGTAACAGGGCATCAGGGTATGCTTGTTCGAAAATGAAGGCATTGGTAGGCGTAGTGTCATGGACCTCAGTTGCGGGAAGAGGTAGCCGACTGAGTCCATCAGCATGACTTAGCATACTGCCTGACTTGTTGACTAGCTTGAAGTGATAGCTTGAGAGTGTGAATGCCCACCAGAGGACTCTTGGCGATGTATGACTTGGCAACCCTCGACTTCATCCAAAAAGTCCTAGCAATGACTGGTGGTCTTTTAAAGCAGTGAACGGCCTTCCCCACATTTACTGATGAAATTTGCGGACACCGAGAACCAAAGCAAGGCCTTCCTTATAAGTCTGACTATAGTTTCACTCATCAGCCAGATAGTGCGTGAACCGAAAGCTACATGTCTTTGGGTTTCATCTGCTTTGGTCTGGGCTAAGACTGCACCCACATCATACGGTGGCGCATCACAACTGAGTGTAAGTGGTTCCTCAAAACAGTAGCGGGCTAGGACAGGTGCGTTTGACAAGAGCCTTTTAACTGTGCTGCATTCTTTTTGTTGCTCTTTTCTCCAGCTCCAGTTTTCCCCTTCACGAAGCACCTGATGCAATGGACCCAGTCAAGTTGAGATGTTTGGAAAATACCGTCTGTAATAACTAAGCAGGGGAAGATAGCTTTCAAGCTCCTTCATATTCTGTGGCTCTGGTGCACTGGTAATGGCCTCAAACTTCTTGTGGTAAGGCTTTAGACATTGCGTTCAGACGATGTGGCCCAAGTGTCCTACTTCGAGAGCAAAGAAAACGAACTTTTCCAGTTTCAATCTAAGGCCAACTTCCCGACATTTCTGCAAGGCAATCATAAGATTTGGCAAGTGGTCTTTATTATTGATGACTGTAACAACAATGCCGTCCAAGTACACAGCTGTTTTGCAGCACACCATGAAGCAAAGTTTCCAATTCTCGCTGATAAATAGCAGGTGTGGCAGAAACTCCAAAAGGTAAGCGTGTATACTGGAAAAGACCTATGTGTGTATTGGTGGCCCTTATTCCCGGCTTTCTGAATCCAGAGTTATCTGCTGATAGGCGTCCGGCAGGCCAAGTTTTGTGAACTTCTGACCTCCCGACATGGCTGCCCACAGCTTTTCAGCATGTAGAACTGGTTAGGTTTTCATAAGCGAGACCGCGGTAACTGTTTGCTCAAAATCTCCGTAAATTCTTAGGGTGCCGTTGTTGTTCTGAACAGGAACAATAAGTGCTGACCCTTTCGCGGTCTTCACGGGAACAAGAACGTCCTCACGCTTCAACTCTAGGAACTTTGGTGTTACGAGGTAAACTAAGGCAAAAAGAATTCGGTGTGGTTTGCATAATTTTGGCACTGCATCTGGAGGCACAAGTATTTTGGCAGCAAATGCCCTGAACGTGCCAATGGCTCCTGCAAATACCTCAGAAAAACGAACAATCAACTCGCGGACATCCCTAATTTGATTAACTTGCTTGAGTTTGTTGACATCAATGTCCAAAGCTTGGAAGCAGTTGCGCCAAAGCAACGTTGGAGCAGTGCCACTCACGAGGTACAACGTAAGGACCCGTTCATGCCGCTTATAACCGACGCGAACGTTCCTCTTGGCCTTGACTTTCTCGAAATTCCCACTAAATCTACGCAAGCATAGGTTTGAAGGTTCTCGACTCACTTCTGGAAAGGCACGTTAGAACTTGTCTACAAGCATTACGGAGACTCACTTCTGGAAAGGCACTTTAAAACTTGTCTACAGGGATTACGGAGACGCTTGCCCCGGTGCCCAACTCCCTCGGCAACGGTTTTCCAAACATTTACACGGTGAAAAGGAAAGGCGGCACAGTCGGCTGACTGCTTAAATGCCAAATGTCAGAAACATGAGCACCGCGAGAAAAATTAAGCAGGTCGGCGTCGTCAAAAGCGTTTACTTAAGCGGTACGTGTTGGTCGTAGCAGTGCAGTTCGCAGAGCAGACGCTTTTTAGTTCGCGAATGTCTCGGCCTTGCGCGAGTCACAGAGGACTGCCGAAAGCCTTTCTTTCTTGCAGTAGCGGCACTGAGATTTGATGTGTCTGCATTGCGACGCTAAAGGACTCCGGTCGTCGTAGCGGTAACACGCCATGTTATTGACGGCGGACGATACCCGTTGAGTAGGCAGGCCCGGTAAACTACTTGTGGTTGCCTGACACAGTTCGCCGGCATCCTTTTTAGCGGCTTCCATTGCCAAAACAGTGTTCACCGCAATCTCAAATGTGAGGTCGGTACTCTTGATGAGCAGTCGCATCTGAACCACTGCATTGTTTATGCCACATACTATTCAATTTTTAACATGTTGTTGAGTTCGACTCCGTAATTGCAGTGCCCCCTCGAATTGCAGTGAAACCGCTGCACAACGATGGATGGTGTGAGGTCGTACTGTCTGCCAAGTGCGGCCAGTATCTCGTCGAGCGTTTTATCTTGGGGCGTTGCCGCCTTCACTAGGTTGAGCAGTAGAGCATATGTATGAGGTCCACAGCAGCTCAAAAATATTGACCTTTTCTTTGCTTGCGCGACATCGTTGGCTTCGCAGAACTCATAGACGCGCTCCACGTAAGCAGGCCAGGCCTCGCCTTTTCCCTCGAACGCTTCGAACCTACCAAAAGTAGGCATGGTTAACGGGCACCATCGTCGGCAGTTTTTTACATGTTACCGAAATAAGTGAGCCGTGGCCGTTGTAACTGTAGTTCACGGCGAACACAACACAACTGTGCATATCCCTCCACAAACTCCGGATTCCATGCCGACCGGTTGTGCCCTAGCGTTCTCCGACGATAGCGCAGCTCTGGCCGACTGGGTTGGTGCTATACCACTTCCTGCCACCTGTCCCCTACGACGACATCAGCGCAGCTCTGGCTGAATGAATTAGCCCCACGGCATCTCCTGCCGCCGACAAGAGCTCTCGCAAGTGCTGCCTCGTGCTTGGACTCGTAGGACCGTGTTTCATTGTTCCTATCTCTCTTATGTCGTCGCTCTCTGTCCTTGCGCATCTTTTTCTCTCTCTCTCTATATATATATATATCTTAAATCCTATATTTGTAATTCCTCCTTACCCCCATCTCTTGTGAGCTACTGTTGAGGTGTCGCACGTTGATGCAGACAGTCACGGGGCTCACTTTTCTTTTATTTTTCCTCTCATAACTGTAACCCCCCTGACTTGTTGTCCTTTAACCTGAGAGAGTAGGTGGCGCTAGTAGCTGGCGGTATCACATTACCGAATGTCACACAAAGCTTCTGAAGGTCAAAGCTTGTGCGTTAGCATGCACCGTAACCGTGATTATGTTTTATGACGGTGATAGTCACGAACAACTAGTGGCTTGTGTAGTGTATGGCGTCTTGATATGTTCTAAAATGCAATTTTTATGACTCCAAGTAACAAATAGCCACTAGGAGAACGTGCATAGCCTCCATCTTAGCCACTTTCAGGCTGGACCTGATACAAAAAAGCAGTAATAGTGAAGGTAAAATGAAGAACACGACTCAACAGAACATACCACTCATGAGCAAGAAACCTTGTATACATATTTCTGAGCTGCTTTGTAACTCATTTACATTAGTGAGTGGTCGATACCACGGGTGATATTGGTAACCCCGAACATACTAGCTGCTTGGCACACTCATCGTCATTCACTTCGTGTTTATGCTATGCTCCTTTTCTCTGTCTTCAGGGTACGAGTTTTGTTCAAGCGGCCACCTCTTTGTCATAGAGAAATCCAGGTACGCATATTAAAGTATAGAAACTAAAGTTCATCCACTGGCTTCATGACTTGTCTTGTCTTGTCGCCTAGAAGATCTTGGCTCATACCTACAAGGGCGATTGGCCACAATAACTTTATAATGAAATTGTTTACTTACACAACGCTTGATAAAAAAGAGAGAAGTTAGATAAGAACAATATAAAAGTTCCTTTAAAAAGGTGAAAAGTGGGGAAGAAATCAGTAAACCAGAATATATAAAACAAATTAGCAAAAA